AACAAAATATTAGATCTGATATTGATGATAAATTCACATCTGCCCACAGAATGATGGGGCTACTTGCTGTGTTCTAATAATAGTTATAATCTTCCTGAGTAACCCCACGTTGGTAATATCAAAACTGACATGAACTAACCAAATCTCCTCCATGAAGAGATTGCTTCCAAGTGAACCATGATATCAGACGGCCTCTGATGGCATATTCTACTCTACTATGGCAAAACCCGGTGGGAAAACAAACCATTGTATGGTTAACAGCTATTCCCATGGTAAGAGAGTGACCATAGTACAGTACAACATCATAGAAGACACTACCTTCTTTATTATCAACAAACTCAATCATAAAACAACACTTTCACCGCATAAGTTTCTTTTCTATGAAAAATCAATATTTATTTCAAAGAGAAATATTTACTATTTCTAACTTTTTTGGATGAAGTATGAAAGGGTGAAAATATGAAGAGTAATGGCGAACGGAAAAATAAAAGTGTCCAGGGGCGGGAATCGAACCCACAACGTTCCGCTTACCGGGCAGATGCCATGTCCACTAGGCTACCCTGGGCGTATTTTTCCGTTCGTAAATAATACTTAAAGTAACTTATAATACATTATAAAGGACTTTAAGTGTTGTTTTATAATCATACGCCGCAGTCCTTTATAATGTATTATAAGTTACTTCAAGTATTATTTACGAACGGAAAAATACGTCCAGGGTAGCCTAGTGGACATGGCATCTGCCCGGTAAGCGGAACGTTGTGGGTTCGATTCCCGCCCCTGGACACTTTTATTTTTCCGTTCGCCATTACTCTTCATATTTTCACCCTTTCATACTTCATCCAAAAAAGTTAGAAATAGTAAATATTTCTCTTTGAAATAAATATTGATTTTTCATAGAAAAGAAACTTATGCGGTGAAACTTTAAGTGTTGTTTTATAATCAAACTCAATCATATTAAGTCTGTGAATCTTTTTGATGGTGTTTTCTGGGGATCAGTAGAACTCATCAATGGCTGAGCTAATTGCATAATGGGTTTGCAAATGTAAACTGTCCTTTATAGAGAGGTGTCCTCTAGCGTGAATTTCCTCTCATGGAGATTCTATTGTAACGATAAAATAAAAACCTTGTTCAAAACAACAAAAAATGTTCTCTCTGGGTGGTAATTTTAAAATTATGTAATACAATAGAAACTCCATGAGAGGACACTCGCGCTAGAGGACACCTCTCTACAAAGGACAGTTTTCATCACCAAAATTACCATTTTTACTATTTATCAACTCTCTGGTAAAAGGACACCTCTCCCTAATGGACACATTTGCTTTGCAATTAGGTGTCCTCTACAGGAAGGTTCTACTGTATTTAAAATGCATTTTAAAAAATTTAAAAACAGCATTTAGTAATAAAAACAACATCAACCAAGTAGTGACTGCAAGCTCTAACCAGCCAAACAATGAGGTGTCCCTGTGTTGAGAGTAATGTTCTACCATTATTCACACTTTAAAATGCATAATATTTTTCAGCCCACCCTGTGCTGCTGAGTTTTGAGATATAAGTGGTATATAGGTTTGTTAAGCACTACTCTAGAGTGAAGCAACGTAGGTCAAACATAAGTGGATATTCATCCTTCTTATAAAAAATCATATGGCAACAGATTGTATACCTCTTGTTCTCTCTAAATGTTTAGCTTGATATTTTATTTCTTTTTTGATAATTTAAAAATTAAATTAAATAATTTTTATAAAATGTTTTGGTAAAATTGAAATTTGATTATAAATCTGAAAAATAATTTAAAATTTCGACCTAGTAATAAATTTTAAATAATAATAATAAAAAATGGGCAAAATACAATTATCTAAACAACCTAACTACATAGAATACCTTTGAGTGTACTTTTAATTATCGTAATGTAGTAACTTAAAACATCAGAAACATGTTAATATAATTTTTTTTAATGTAACGCTTAACTTTGAATTATTTACCTATTTGTGTGTGAATAATATATATTTTTTAAAAAGAGAATATAGTTTTATATACTTTGTATTAAATTCTAGAACAACGCATGTGACATAAAAGTTAGTAATGAAAATAAACAAAGCAAAACAAATCGAGGTATATTCCTTTATTTTATAATAGCTCATTCGCGTTTAGAAATCTCATAATTTCTATTTAAATTATTATTTTATTTTTCAAATATTTATTAAAAACTAGTGGATGTACCCGGCTTCGCCCGGGTTTTACCCGAGTAAAGGTTTGCCTAACGAACATTTGTTGAAACAATTCTCTATAAACTTATAAAAAAAAATAGATATATTTTGATAATTTGAAACTCTTAAATTTGAATCTCTCAATAAAGTGAAAATTTTTTCCCGGTCCCTGTGTGCCGTGTTATCCTGAATTTTGTCTTTCCTAATTTTCTACATTACAAAATCATCGTTTTATCTAGTGAACATTTTTCCCGGTCCCTTGAAAAATACTCGATAAGTTGAATAAAATCAATATTAATTGATTCCCTCGGTAATTGGAAGTTAAAGGAATAGTATCTTGCCTTGGAATTGTATCATTACTAGCCGAATGACCCGGGCAACGCCCGTGTTTTACCCGACTGTAGATGTTACAACGGTGATCCTTAGGTCGCTGGTTCAAATCGGCTCGAGGGAGCCGGCGAGCACGTGACCTCCCTGTGCGCGCGCATCCGTGACAGAGGCCGATGAGGAAAGACGGTCGTGACTATATATAACGCACAGTTCACCCCTGGATTTCATCCAGAGAAGATCTCTTCTCTGTGCTTCCTTGAAGACCCTGGCTCTAAAGCTACCCTACTTGCTCTACTGCCTAACCCTGGCTTTACTGCTAACCACTGGCTCTACTGCTAACTACTGGCTCTACTGCTAACAACTGGCTCTACTGCTAACTACTGGACCTGCTGCCAACTGCAGGCTCTACTGCTAACCACTGGCTCAACTGCCATACCACCGGCTCACTGAAGATCTGAAACCTACTGCACACATCCCCTGGCTCTATGAACTCCTGAAAGGAAAAAAAAACTGAAAACGAAGCTCTCCCGGACGGCCGAAATCGCCAATATTTACTCACTTTAAACAAATAGCTGTTCTCCAGAGCGGCCGCCAGCACCCCTCTCCATCAAAATGGGAAAAGGAAGAAACAAAAAGAACGATACCACTGTAACTCAAGTTCCACCTGAACCAGTTCAAAATGCTTCACTCCCAGCAGAACCACCCATAAGGGCTGAACCTGAAGTAACCAACACGGGCTCCTGTGGTGGCAGCTACCAACCCACTTCCCCTTCTTACTCCCCAACGTATAACCCTGAAACCTACAAGCCTATATACGCCTCTACCTACTACAATAGTGTTCCATCGCCAAACTACTATGGCTCCTCACCAAATTACAGCACCGCTCTCTACCAAGAACCTGAAGGACTCCAAATTACACCGGAGACAATTGAGGCTATTGACAACGCCACTGGGGCCCATACAACAGCTTCTCCCATCCTGACCTGCACGCCACCATCGACAGGCTTCTCCAGAATCGCCGTGCCTGCATCCTTGGACTTTCAAAGGAACTGAAAGCCATGACTGCCGGACGCGACCAACTCTTGGAGAAGCTTACATCCCTCGAGGCCTCTACTGCCCGCCCTCCAACCATCACTGCTTCCACCCAAACCCCAAACCGATACTCCCAAGGGCAACCCTCTCTACACAAACCATCCCCAAAACAGCGGCACCCAAACCAACCACCAAGCCTTCTACCAATCCCAAACCCTCGTCCTCCACCAACAAGAAGACTCAGGACCTCCTGCGAGCTTCCGCAGCCCATGTTGTCATTGAAGCAACCGACCCAAATACCAACCCAAGGGAAATCCTCAAGACCATCTGCGCCACCCACAAAATCCCCGAGAACACAGTCTGGGCTTCACTTAGGACCAGGGGAAAATTAGTCCTTCACTCTGCCAACCCAGAAATTATACCCGACCTCAGCTCCGCCCTGTCCAAAAAACTTGCCGACAACAACCTCCGTGAAACTCGGGAACTCCTCCCCAGGGTCTGCATCTTCAGAGTCGACAGTGAAATATCTGACCCATCAATCATAGAATCCGTCAAGGCAATCCCCGCAATCCCCGCATCGCAGCCATCCAAGGTGACAAGATCATCAGAGTGGCTCACCGTTCAGCACCAAGATCTGGAACAAGCACCGTGTTTTTGGAACTTGACCCGGCCTCCTTCAAGGCTCTAGGCCAAAAAGGAAGACTCATCTTAGAAGGCGTCATCCACCACTTCGAAGAGTCCATCAGAAGATGTTTCTGGTGCTTCGGACACAACTCAAACAGATGCACCTCTGCTGAACCCATCTGCTACCATTGTAGCAAAACTGGACACGAAGGCAACTCCTGCCCCACCAAATCCTCCCCTGGCACAGCAAGATGCACCCACTGCCACCCCAAAGGAATCACAGCCAACCACGAAGCCCGCTCCACTGCCTGTCCAACTGCTAGACTTCATGCATTGAAGTTCTAGAACTACAAATCTCGACTACCATACTCCAAAGAACAAATCCCTGGGCGAAAAATCTGGCCTAACAAACGACTACACAGAGCTACACCGGTTCCACTTCACCTACGCCTTGGCGTCCACCGACACGGCTTGTGTTTTAGATACAGTGAGCCTGGAAAAGTCTCCACTGAGACTTGGGCGGGCGATGGATGCGTATTATAAATATAATATAATATAATACAGTCGAACTTGGATAATTCGAACCCCAAGGGACCATAAAAAAATTCGAATTATCCAAAAATTCGAATTAAAGATGTTAAATTATTTATATAGGAAATTCTAGGGACCAAGATAAATATTCGAATTAAAGAGGTTTTCGAATTAAAGAAGTTCGAATTATCCAAGTTCTACTGTATATGTATGAGTACATTTTGTGTAGAAATAGGATTAGTTGACTTTATAAGGTAAACTTATTCATACAATTTGTATCCCTCGATAGCTCAGTTGGCAGAGAGGAGGACTGTAGATGTTACAAGACTGTAGCTGGTTCAAATCCGGCTCGAGGGAGTTTTTTATTATTTTTTTTTATTGGCTGCCGGCGAGCACGTGACCTCCCTGTGCGCGCGCATCCGTGACAGAGGCCGATGAGGAAAGACGGTCGTGACTATATATAAGGATAGACTATATATAAAGAAATATTCAAATATTTTCTCTAATTTTATATTCTCTGAAACTTATTTATTGATAAACATTTATTTTTTTAAAATTAATTCGTTGAATATTTTCTGAATTAAATATTTTGACCATATTATGTTCTATTTTGAAAAAAAAAAAAAAACATGTTTTGTTATAAGTGTTGTTTGAATTAACAATGATTACGTCAAAACTTGTTAATGGAAAAGTTTTTATTTGGAATCTAAAAGGTAGAGGCTGAATTTCCTATATGTTAAAAGGTATACTTGTGTTTTACGACCAGAGTTAAAATACAATTCCTATTATACAGTGTTTTAGTTTACAATGACCAATGTTAGGTATTTAAATCGGCTTTAAACGCATAACCACGTGTGAAGCTTTTATACAATATACAGATTTATCATTCAAATTCTGTAAATAATCACAAAAAGCTGAAAGTCAAATGTTTGGCAGATACTGAAAATAGCCACAAATACCAAAAAAATAAATTCCTAAAATTATCTTAACTTAAAGTTTATGGAACTTCAATAAATAGCCATGTTCCTGGGTTTAATCAATATTTAGGGATGTCTGTTTCATCTCCCCTATTAACTAACCCAACCTAGCTTAAAGTGTTTATATGTTAAGAATAGAGTTGATTCCCAAGGTTGTACCCAGATACACATGCTGTCTTCTTTCTTATCTCCACACTGGGTGAAGTAGAATGCGTCTGCCTTTGTCATTAAGACTGGGAGCACTACTCAGTGGCAGTGACACATGCTGTCAAATGTATCAATACGTTAGGTTAGGTAATTTTCAGATTGTTAAATTCAGTTTTAAAAATGGGATTTTTTTCTGCATAGGCCAATCAGGCATGTAGTTTCGTATCTGGGCACAACCATGGGAATTCTTCCCCAAAGTATCTTTAGAGAGATGTATCCTCTTACCAAAAGTTGTTAAACAGTAAAAATGGTAATTTTAGTGATGAATACTGTTCATTGTCGATAGGTGCCCGCTCACGAAGTATGTTCTACAGTAGTGGAATGTAAGATTGCTGACTCATCCTTTCTTTAAAAACAATCTCGCATTCTACTACTGTAAAATACTTAATGAGTGGACAAAATTTCTATACAATGAACATAAAAAAAGAAAATAAGACTTAATCCAAATAATTTATTAGTGTGTGACATTTCGGCAACAGCATTGTTACCATCATCAGACAAAAGAGTTATAGAATTTTTACTCTTTTTTCTGATGATAGTGACAATGTTGTTGCTGAAATGTCACACACTAATAAATTATTTGAATTAGGTCTTATTTTCTTTTTTTATTATAATCTATAATCCAAATTGTGCTTTATCATTATACAATGAACAGTTTTCATCACCAAAATTACCATTTTTACTGTTTAGCAACACTCAGTAAAGAGGACACCTCTCTAAAGACACTTGTTCTGAAACCAGATGTTGTCACAGAGAGGTTCTACTGTAATTGACTCCTGAAACCAATGTAATTATCTAAGTTTGAAATTCTGACACTTTATTAAGTTCCTAGGGGGTCGGTGGAAGGATGGTCTAAACCATAGGTTTTCAACCGCTAGGACCCGGGTTCAATTCCCGCATTGGACACTTTGTTCTGATTTTTTAAAAATCGTCCAATGGCCCCCGATTCTTGCAAAAGTCCAACCCCACCAGCGAGTGCAAGTAACCAAACGGGGCTCTGGCACATTTGTAAGTGCAAAGTCGAACTGCTTTTCACATGTGTAGACATGTGGTGCACTTACAGTAAAAGCAGTCGCTTACTTCTACCCACCATGATTATCATGGCCTGTACAACGTGTACTAGGGATAAGCAAAAAAAAAAAAATTAAGTTCCTAGATGTTGACACTGGGTCTCAACTTGATTTCTAACCTCTGTTGTCAGATGCTCAGAAGCTCCAGGAGGAGTACCGGATAACCGGAGCCTTTGTGGGTCGGCATCCCTCCAGGAAATACCAGAACAAGGACTTTGGACTTCCCTTCAGTCTGCTGCCAGAGGAGACTTCTCTGCTGCTTCATCTGGGTTGGTAGCCCTGACCTAACTAATAGTGTTGGTTAACACCTGCCCTCACTGACCTAACTAATAGTGTTGGTTAACACCTGCCCTCACTGACCTAACTAATAGTGTTGGTTAGCACCTGCCCTCACTGACCTAACTAGTAGTGTTGGTTAACTGAAGCTGAACCTTTTTACAGTATTTGCATTCATAGAAAGCGAATAAAAGAGAAGGCAAGAAAAGGAGGAATATTACAAACATGTTAGGTCTTGTTGAATTATTTTGGTAAATGCTCTGTGAAAATGGAACAATCTCTTTACATCAGTCTTCCAAATGATGGGGTTCGCTCTTATTTCATATCGACAGATGACAGAATTGCTGGAATTTCCAAGAAAATTTTCCCTTTCTTCTATAAAACATTAGCATTCGAGATAATGAGACAACTCAGTTCTGGCATTTTGTTTACACAGATAACATTCCAGACCTTTTCTGAAAGACTCAATAAGATTTTTGTGAAGAAATCATTGATTGTCAGCACTAAGCTTTCACTCTTTGTTTATGAGGAACAAAGTTGGCAGCTAATTTATGTTTGACAACACAACATGAGGGTTATTTAGCACCTAATTCTATCAAAATTCGAAACTATTATAGACACGTATGATTCTTTTTTTTTAAATAAACAATTTCTACTGCCCTTACTGCAATGGAAAATTTAATGGGAGGGCCTGGCTCATCAGTGGTGAACCTTCCCAGCGGTTTCGCCAGTTTAATCTACCATATCGCTGTAATATTGCATTTTTTTTATCTTCCTTTTATAGTGATACTGTTGTTAGACTCTAATAATGGGTATTTTAGAAGAACTATGGACATAAGCTTTGAGGACAGCAGAATTACATACAATTATAAATATATAAAATGCTCCGAGCAATCGCTCTTCCACAAATTTCAATTTGTGTCTTTTATTAGAACATTTATGTTCCAATGGCCCCACGATTCTTGCAAAAGTCCAACCCCACCAGCGAGTGCAAGTAACCAAACGGGACTCTGGCACATTTGTAAGTGCAAAGTCGAACTGCTTTCACATGTGTAGACATGTGGTGCGCTTACAGTAAAAAGCAGTCGCTAACTACCCACCATGATTATCATGGCCTGTACCACGTGTACTAGGGATAAGCAAAAAAAAAAAAATTTGAACATTTATATTATGATGCACTAGCGCACTAATTCTATCCTGAGTTGATTGATGGAACTGTGTTTCCATTGTCTGTTAATACTTTATCTAGTAGTTGTTGTGTATCTCCTTTTTACCCTCTTTCTCTCCCAAGCACCAAATCCAAATAAATAGATAGTGTGTTTCTATTCTATAATCCAAATTGTACCTTACCACATACCCTCCCTCTTGTGCTATAATCTAATGTTTTCCTTCACTTATCAAGGTGGGGTGGGTATAGTGTGTGTATATATGGAGTAAATTGCTTTTCCCTTATTGCCAGACAGCCAATCACAGAGGTGTATTACTACAGGTGCAATCCGATTGGTTACTGACACCAGCCTCTCAACACCCCCTAATGAAAAAGACAGAGACAAGTACAAAGTCCTTGAAGATGAAGTCTACAAAATCAAGGTGGGGATCCACATTCTTTGCTTTTTTGTTTTGTTTTGTTGATTTCAATGGTGGTGTTCTACATTGCAGAGATCAATGGTGGTGTTCTACATTGCAGAGATCAATGGTGGTCTTTTACATTGCAGAGATCAATGGTGGTCTTTTACATTGCAGAGATCAATGGTGGTCTTCTACATTGCAGAGATCAATGGTGGTCTTCTACATTGCAGAGATCAATGGTGGTCTTCTATATTGCTGAGATCAATGGTGGTCTTTTACATTGCACAGATCAATGGTGGTCTTCTACATTGCAGAGATCAATGGTGGTCTTCTACATTGCGGAGATCAATGGTGGTCTTTTACATTGCAGAGATCAATGGTGGACTTCTACATTGCACAGATCAATGGTGGTCTTTTACATTGCAGAGATCAATGGTGGTGTTCTACATTGCAGAGATCAATGGTTGTCTTCTACATTGCAGAGATCAATGGTGGACTCTGCATTGCAGAGATCAATGGTGGACTTCTACATTGCACAGATCAATGGTGGTCTTCTACATTGCAGATATCAATGGTGGACTTCTACATTGCAGAGATCAATGGTGGACTTCTACATTGCAGAGATCAATGGTGGTCTTTTACATTGCAGAGATCAATGGTGGTGTTCTACATTGCAGATATCAATGGTGGACTTCTACATTGCAGAGATCAATGGTGGACTTCTACATTGCAGAGATCAATGGTGGTGTTCTACATTGCAGAGATCAATGGTGGACTTCTCCATTGCAGAGATCAATGGTGGTCTTCTACATTGCAGAGATCAATGGTGGACTTCTACATTGCAGAGATCAATGGTGGTGTTCTACATTGCAGAGATCAATGGTGGTCTTCTACATTGCAGAGATCAATGGTGGTCTTCTACATTGCAGAGATCAATGGTGGTCTTCTACATTGCAGAGATCAATGGTGGTCTTTTACATTGCAGAGATCAATGGTGGTCTTCTACATTGCAGAGATCAATGGTGGTCTTCTACATTGCAGAGATCAATGGTGGTGTTCTACATTGCAGAGATCAATGGTGGTCTTCTACATTGCAGAGATCAATGGTGGTCTTTTACATTGCAGAGATCAATGGTGGTCTTTTACATTGCAGAGATCAATGGTGGTCTTCTACATTGCAGAGATCAATGGTGGTATTTTACATTGCAGAGATCAATGGTGGTCTTCTATATTGCTGAGATCAATGGTGGTCTTTTAC